CAGGCACGGGATCAGCCACTCGCACCTGTCCAGCAGGACCGCGGCATCGAACGCGCCCATCTTGCCGGGGTAGCCGATCGCCGCGTCGCGCAGCAGCAGGCCCCAAGAGCTGCACTGTCTGCCCGCCGCGAGCTTCGGCGCCGCAAGATGCCGCCCCGGCAGGGGAAGGTCTCGCGCGGCCGAAGATACCCGATGAAGGTGATGACCACCCAGAGGCTCATCCGAGGGCGCCCCAAGTGCCCGAGGCAACCAGCGATCGCCATCGCCGCCGCGCGGGGCAATGGCAGGCGAATGCGACGCGGCACCCGCCTCCGCCACGCCACAATGCATCTGGTTGCCCAGGCGGGCCTCTCGGCAGTGGCCTTGTAGAGCTCCGAGAGGAAGTGGGCGAGGCCGGCGAGCAGCTTGGAAGCACCCCCCACACTGGCGCCCCCCAGGAACTCCGCGTTGAAGTGCGAGACCAGAAGGAGGCCCAACTCCCAGCAGGCGCTGCAGTCGGCGCCCGCCCCGCGGAAGAAGCTGGCGAACTTGGCAGCCGCGCTCGGGCGCATGACCCCCGCGCTCGGCGTCGCCGCCAGGCTCTCTGGGAGGCCGAGGTCCCCCACGGCCCTCCTCCGGGCCGAGACTCGGCCGGCAGCGGCCGCGCGATGAGCCTTCAACTTCGGCGGACGAGGCCAGCGTCGGGGGGCAGCAAATCTGCCGGAGCTTCAGAGGAAGGCGGAGTGATCAGACCTGACTCTGCAATCCTCGAACCCACAACAGGAGACGACATGGGGCGGGACACGCGCGGCCCCGCACGCCACCCGAGCTCGCCACTGGAAGGAATGTCGGCGGGGCTCTTCTCGGGGGGCACCCAACGAAGATGAGACATCGCACGCGAGATTCCTGAAATGACGCGACCCAGCACCAAGACGCTGGCGCGCACGAGGATCTGCAAGGCCAAGATGCTCACCCAGGGCCCCTCGGGCACGCCATCAGGCACGTCCTCGAACAGAGCCCCAGACACCTCCGAGAAGGACCTCACGGCCTGCTCGTCATCGACACCCACGACATCTGCATACACTGGCGCCCACGAGACCCCCAGCTCTGGAGGGCCCTAAAAGACGATCAATTTCCAAAGCATTTCTGCGCGCACGCTCTGCACTGGCAACTTGATAGCTCCACCGCTCTGCGCAACGGCCAACAGCGCCGATGGCTCCGATGACGAAAAGCGAAGCGGCAGAAGCTGCGACGACACTGTGCTGGGGCAGGCTGATGTCGGTGTAGAGGAGGGGGGATTGAGCGTGAGGTCAACAGCTCCTGGCGCACGCCTGTCCAAAGATTCTGAGGCTGCCCCCCAGCCGCAATCATAAACTGATAGGCGGCACTGAAGAGCGAGAGCACCTCCCCCCTGAGAAGAGCAGCCCATGTCACATACCCCACCACTATCTGCATAGCTGACCCACTACACCCCTCCCGCCTCAACAAACCCTCGACGCCGCATCGGAGACGCCAGACGCAGGCGGGGTCGATGCACACCCTCGACCCGATCGAGAAGCGCAGCCCGACAAAGGCTATATCCTTGGAGGCCGCACCAGGCTCGTGCACAGAGAGGCCTAGAGCTACCAGCCGGCGGCGCACTCCGTCGAGCCTCGACACCACAATCTCCCGCCTGGGCCCCATCACCACGAAATTGTCCACATAGCCGGCCGCGGCCACATCGGCAGGAGAAGACAAAGAAACGGCCGGCATGCCATCCTCGACGACCTGAGACGACTCGAAACCTTCCTCGCGAGGAGCACGTTGCAACACACTTTGACAGATATGCAGCGCCCATGACCACCCCATGGGAAGTACGCACACACACACGGAGAGTTGAGCTCATTCGAATCCGCAGCGACACCATCGATCTTGACGATTCCTGAATGCCTTGCTGCGATCGACGGAAGACGAATCATTTCTTCGAGGCCGTCTGGCATGGCCAGACTATGAAAAGCACACTCGACATCACCAGCTGCAAATTAAATGTCCCCACCGACGTTCTCGAAGCCGATAAAGGCCCCAGGCGCGGGGAGCCGCGTCCAAGGTGGGCCAGATAACCTGGCGCTAGCCGCGCTGGTGTCAAAATTCACTCGGACGCCCCCCGACTTGTCAGCGGCCCAAAAATATACCTACAGCGGCGCCACGCCCCGCGGCTCGATGAAACTTGACCACCCCTCTCTCCCGCAGCTCGGAGACAAAATCGCCGCGGGCGAGAGGGCTGTTCTTGAGCACTGGATCCGCAAAGGGCCCATTCGGACAGACCTCGTCTCGCAGAACGGCAGTTGCAGCAGGCGGTCGTAGCATGCGATCACGCCACAGGCCGTGCCAATCGGAGCGGAGCCGGCCCGAACAAGGCAGGCGCGCACAGGTCAGCGGGCGAGTTCCCACGCGCGGGCCAGGAGACCTTGCTCGTGACGCACGGCCTCTGGGTGGTAGACTCACTGGAATAAAGCCCTGACCCAGCGAAGAGCGCGTCGAGGGCTCCCTCGCGAAAAAAAAAAAGGTCGCCAGGCGGCGGCGGCGGCAAGTAAGCCGACTCGACGCGTGCCAGCGCCGCCCCCTGACCAGCGCCGCGCGCGCCAGAAGATGCATCGCCGCGCCCGACAATTTGATCGAGTCAGCCAACGCCGTCAGCGGCCCAAGCAAGCGCGCGCGAGCTTCGAGCGAGCCCGCGAGAAGTGCCACGGGACAAGCGCCGGCCGCCATTCTGGCGGGACGAGCGGAGGCTGGGCAGCGGCAGGGGAAAAATGCATCCGTGCCGCCCCGGGCACTGCGAACCTGCCCCTGAGCAGCCTGAATTCGGCTCGACAAGCAGGGCCAGCAAGAGATGCCGCTGGCCGGGGTAACATCACCCCTGTTCCTTGGCGCCTTTCTTCGGGCGCGCCAACGCCCACTCCTCGTGCGCCGCGCGGCGCTCCTTCATGACCGAATACTCCTTCGAGAGTTCAGCTGCAATCCACTCGGCGAGGGCTGGCACGACGCAAAGGTCGCCCCTCGCCAAGTCGGTTGCTTGAACGGGCAAGGTGCGCATCCAGTATGTCGTCTCCGCCGCCGCTGCAGACCTTATCGCGATGTCGCTCTTCGGCAAGCCGGAGCCCTCTAGCTTGCAACCACTGCCGTCGCAATGTTGGGCAGATTGCGCTGATCATAACACGCGAGCGTCTCTAAAAGCCTGCATGCGCCCTCATGGGCCTCGACCCCGGCCGGCATCTCTGGGCTGCAACCTACCATCGGAGCGCCTTCTGTTGCGTCGCCCCAGCGGTGACCCACCATTTGATGCAATATATCTGCATACCCACAGACACGTTCTAGGACGGCGCACTGGCCAGTCGGGCCAAGGATCTTCTGAACATGAGGCCACAGCGTTGCGAAAATCGCAAAACCACTCGCCAGTCCTGTCGCATGAGACCGCACAAGTGCGAGAAACTGCGCTAGGCGGAGCTCCACGCACATGGACAGGCGCGACAGGCAAAAGCGCCGCCGCTGCAGCAGCTGGAGGGACGGGCGCCCTGCCTCCAGCGGAGCCGCGGGCACCGCAGCTCCTCCAGCGAGAGAAGGAAGCCCCAAGGCCGCGGCGAGACGGGCAAGCCCTCCTCCAGGGGCAGGCCCCGTTCCTGCGGCGATGGCTCTGCCATCGCCGGCAAAAGCCGGAGCTGCGGGGGGGGAGTGGCAGGCGCAGGTCCTGGGAGAGGCCCACCAGGAGCGGGGCCGAGGACCGCCGGAACGGCCGCGGGAACAGCCCCAGGAACGATGGCCCCACCAGGGAGCCCGCCGTTCGCACCTGCAGCCGCACCTCCCGCAGCGGCTGGAAGCCCGCCCGGCGCGGCACCCCCTCCAGGAGCGCCGATCACGGGGTGGCCTCCCGGCCTAGGTTGGACCAGTCCAGCAGGCGGCGGAGCTCCCAAACGACTGTAGCCAGCAGCTCGAGCAACAATCAACTGCGCCGACGTGGGCACCGCCCGAAAGCGGTAATAGGCAGCGCCCGCTCCTGCATGGACGACGGTTCCGCCAGGGCCTCCGACCGCACACCAGTCTAGCACGTCAGCTCCGATGGTAAGATCCTCCTCGCACTTGTCCAGGTCGGCGGTGATGACAGTCACCCCCGCCGCATACACTGGCGCCGCTCCAGCGCAGCACCGCAAGTGCCAGAGCTCCGGGCTACCAACGTTGTACCTGATCGCGAAGAACTCCCCTTCCTGTAGCCCGAGGGGGTGGGCTCCAGCGACCGGCGCCGCCATCACTGCAAGGCGAGAGCCTGGCGCCAACGCGCCGCGGCCGCCTGCTGCTTCGCCAGCGCCGGGATGTCCGTGTCCTCCGCCGCCGACGCGGGCACCGTCCCTACGACCTGCGCTCTCCCGCGCTCGCAGAAGGGCGCTCGAAGCGGCCTGATGCTGAACTGCCCGCCGACCGCGACGCCCGCAAGAAAAAACCGCCGGAATCACCACAGACTGATCTAACGGGTTCGAACGCTCGTGGTAGACCTCTCGCACTTGCGTCAGCTCCACCGGCGGGCAGTGGCAGTTCACCACCGGGGCGCACTCAGGGCAAGGCGCGGGTGTCTGGGGCACACAGAAGCAAGCAATTCGAGATCCCGCGCGCGAGCTCTGGAATCAACGCCCGAAGAAATAGCATAGGCCAGGGGCCTGCTTGAGCCTTGAGGGTTACGAAATGGAGATTCCGATGCGGCCAGCTGTGACACTACTCGGCTTCAAGTGATGAACACATCCATATCGCCACGCGATCTAGCAGAGTCTCCAGAATATCCTCCTCCTCCTCTTCCTCCTCCTCCTCCTCCTCCTCCTCCTCCTCCTCCTCCTCCCCCTCCTCCTCCTCCTCCTCCTCCGCCTCCTCTTCGTTTTCCTCCTCTCTCCTCCCCCTTTTCCTCCCCCTCCTCGTTCCTTCCCCCCACCCCCGCTCCGCCGCCGCCGCCTCCCTCCCCCCGCCGAGCCCCGCTCCCCCCTGCTGGGAGGGGGCCGCACCCTGCGCCCCACGTACAGCGGCGGCTTGCCCCACAGCGCAGCGCCACGCTCGTGGCCGCAGCCGCGGCAGAACCTGGCCGAGTCCTGCGCTTCGCCGCCGCGGGGGCGGTCCGCCCCCCCTCCCCCCAAGAAAATCCACAACAAAGGATCCAAGAAGATGCACCTGTCCCTCGCGAGCCGATCAGCTCCAAGATGGTATGACTGAGAAGGAGGCCCCCCCCTCCTCTGGCACCCTCGAGCCATTTCAACAAGTCGGCGCGATGTGTTCTGTCATGCTCGGGCTCGCGGGGCCCTTGCAGGGCCACGGGACCGAAGAAAAAACGACTCGGGATGAAAAACACGGTCCCTTGAAGGGATCAAGACCTCTGGGAGCCACGATGCGCAAACATACATGACGTCGGATGTTTGGGCCCCCCCCCAAAACTCGAGGGACGGGGGCACGGGTGGGGGAGGGAAGGAGGGGGGTTGGGAGAGGGGGGGAGGTAGGGGGGGGAGGGAGGGGAGAGGCAGACGGACCCGAACGGACGGCGGAGGAAGGACGAGGGAGTGTGGCAGCAGCTCTCCTCCAATATGCCTTCTGGGTTTGAGCCGAATGCGAAACGGAGTGCTCGTCCACACGCTAAAACTACTACATCTAATCTGGCATGCTTCCACATGCCCGAAGTTATCCTCCAGGGTTAGCTGTCCTCTTGTGGACGACAAATAACTCAAACGGAACTCTTCTGAAATTCATCCAGCGGTGCGACCCCATGTGAGCAACCCCTGGCTGCCAGCAGTCCTGACAACTTGTGAAACGCAGACAAGGCAGACTGCAGAGAAGCAGGAGTACCCGATGCACACAAAATTTGCGGACGTCGGCCAGAAAAGAAAGACAACAGCAAACATACGATTGAAAGCAAGGACCATTGGAAGAGAGAGAGAGAGAGGAGGAGGAGGAGGAGGAGGAGGAGGAGAAGGAGGAGGAGGAAAGAGAAGAAGGAAACCCGCCGACAACCACCGTACCACCAGCTCCAACTTCTGGGTCGACGGCCAGGAAATCGGACCAGGACACTAGCTTCTCGCTTTGGCGAAATACCTTCCTGGACGACCCTTAGGATCAACACGTGAGGCCGGGATCTTGTCGTCTCCGCTCCACCTCCAAACCCTCGTAAACGAGGACTATCTGAAACGCTCGTCGTGAGATCGATTAGGGCGGCACTGCATGTGGCCACATCGTCTGGTAGTCCAGGCGTCCCTGAGTGAGAGCACGACGGTTCTGCATGCCTTTGGCCGTCAGGCCCGCGCACTCCTTTAGAAGACGGCCCTTCAGTTTCGTCGAGAGCCACATGTCGCTGCCCTCGGCCTCAGCGAGCTGTGCTTCACGCCTGTTGACATACTGGATCCACGACTCCTCGGGTTGTCGAACTGTTTCGATGACTGCGTTGCGGCCAGCACGTCGATGATCGGTTCCCTCTCTCTCTCTTTCGCCGATCATCATATCCATCCTCTGCATCACGGAATCGATCCAACTGTTGCTCGCCAGCACGCTTTCGCTGATGTCCTCGAATTTGGCCTGCATGCTCCAGTCGAAGAGCTTGAGGAATTTCTCTGCTCGATTCCACATAGATACGACCCTCAATGCGCGACGCCACTGTAGGTAGAAACTCCACCCCGGCGATGCGCGAGGGTCCGAGAAGTCGCCTATGCCGCTGCCCGTCCAGGATGTCTGTCTCCATTCGTTTTGCCACCACAGGTGTCGTCACGAGTCGTCACTCCATTTCTTGACTCGGTCCTCCTTGGCCTCGGTCCACATAGCTGCTGCCGCATCGTCCGGCGAGTCGCCGATGGCACTCTTCTTCCAAGAATCGGGTCCCTTGCGCCAAGGATCGACAGTACGTTATCCTGCTGTCTCTGCTCTCGGGGCTGCTGCTGTCACCATCAGGGCTGGTGCCCCCATAATCTCTCGGACTACGCTTCTCACCAGCTCGGCCAGCTGTTCGGTCGTGAGCCCCGTCGTCGCCGAGCTCCCCGAAACTACGCCTGCCGCTGCAGCCGCTAGGCCTGCTGAGGCCGCTCCACGGATCACCGCCAGCGACGCCCCCTTGTCGTCGTCGCCCTCCTCGGGCATGCCGCGGATGCCACGCCAGTCGGACCTCGGCGCCAGGTCCTCGCCGAGGGCGCGGGAGAGCAATGAGACGCGTCGCCGCGACAGCGCCGCGCCTAGGCTCCCATGGGCCGCTCAGCGGGGTAACCCCGCTCCGCTACCAACTGTTGCAGCAGCTCTCCTCCGATATATTGTGGGGTGTTGACCCAAACATGAAGCGGAGTGCTCGTCCACACGCTAACCTACTACATCAAATCCGGCATGCTTCCACAGGGGGAAGAGGGAAACGGGGGAGGGAAGAGAAGAGAGGACGAGGAAGAGGACGAGGAAGGAGGATGGGGGAGGCAGCAGGAGCAGGAGGAGAAGGAGACCGTCTCCATTTTGCCACAAGCCGTAGCCATGTGGGCTCGAGCCGCCACCGCTCGGGCTCGCATCACTCGGGGGCGCCTTCTTGGGCGCAGCCGCTGCGTGTCCGATGCAGGCGACGACGGGGGCGCTGCCCTGCTGCCACTGCGCAAGGAAGCCAGGCCGACCGCGGTCCGCGCGGGGCTGCGGAGACCCGTGCGCCTCACCCGCGCTGCCGAGGGCATGCTCGCGGCTGCGGTGGCCCTCGGGGCCAAGGCCCCGGCCCCGGCACCGGACGCGGCAGAGGCCGCGCTGCCCGCGGGCGGTGGCGCCAGGGCGGTGTCCTGGAGGGCATCGCACGGCCGCAGCATGGACCCATGGCAGGGGCGGCGGAGGAGGGGCCCTCTGACCTGGCGCCCGGCGGGCGGGCTGACGAGCTGCCGCTGGTCCCAGAGGCTCGGCGGCCCTGCGCGAGCCAGGGGCTGGGGCGAGGGCGAGGATCGGGACGGGCTTATTGGGCGCCATACCCGTGGACCAGCACGATCCAGCCTGCCCGCCGCGGAGGAGCCCGCGCCGTTCGGCAGCGGTGGGTCGGCGCCAGGGGGAAGAGCAAACTCGAGGTGGGCCTCGCGAGGCTGCTCGAGAAGGCGGCCCTGGGCAGAGCCCACGGTGCAGATGTAGGGACCCCTGGTGCGGACCGCTCAACGCCCCTCTGGACATGCTGTCGGCTTTCGGCATCTTCGAGTCCCAGCAGGGCTCCTGAGGGAACCTGGGATCCCTTCCCAAGGTAAGCCCCACTACAATGATATTCACACCCTGCAGTTAAGCATGAGGCAGGAGGATAAACAGCAAGCGGAGCAGGATGAGGGAGGAGGAGGAGGAGGAGGAGGAGGAGGAGAAGGAGAAAGAGGAGAAGGGACAAGGAAGCGGGAGAAGGAGGAGAGGGAGGGAGGGAGGCTGGAGGCAGGACGGAAGAGGAAGGACGGAGGAGGCAGAGGAGACGGAGAAGGGAAGAGGAGGATTGGAGACTCCCAAAGCCCGGCCTCCGAAGGCCCCTGGGTACTTTCAAGGACCGCCGGAGACCTCCAGGCCCCCCCTCCTCCTGGCCCCACCCTGGTCCATCCCGTCTCCTCATGGACACCTCATCGTCGTCAGGCGGGCCGGGAATTTCGCCTGAGACTCCCTCACAATCTATGTCCTCGAAGCTGGAAGATCCGACGGCTACACGGATGGAGCACAGGTCGTGCTCAACTTCGGCTCTCGCTTCGGCGCCGCGCACATTCGTCATCAAAGCGTGCAAAAGTTACACGGACAGAGGGCGGGTCGCTTTCAAAACAAAATGAGGCTCTCGCCTCAGCGCCACGCACATTCGTCGTAAAAACTTGCAGCCGTTACTGGGCACTCGTCTTCGCGCCACGCACATTCGACTTTAAAACTTGCGACAGCCTTTCTTGATGGAGGCCGGCTCGCTTTCAAAATGCGGCTCTCGTTGGAGACTTCCTCGATAAGCTCCCCCACTACAGGTGTCGTGGGCCGCTGCCCCTCCTGTCCCTCCCCTGGCCCTCCCATGAACCCAGCAAGCGTGCCAGCTCCTTCTCGGCGCTCTTCGCGCTGACGGCGCTGATGCCGGAAAGCTCACTCCGAAAGTGCTGGGTCGCGGCCAGCGCACATGGCGTTGCCAGCGCTGTCGGCCGGTCAGAAGCTCACTCCGAGCGTGCAGGCTCGCTTCCGGTGAACTCCGCGCTGCCAGCGCTGTCGCAAACTGCTTGCCAGGAAGTTCACTCCGAGGGTGCCAGCTCGCTCACGGCAGATGGTGGGGTTGAGAGCGAAGTCGGCGGGAGATTCAGGTTGAACGCGCCCGCTTGCCAACAGCTCAATCAAACTAAGCTTGCCCAGAGAAATCTCACTGTCTCTTATGTAGTTTCTCTCGACCGGTGCCACCTTCTCCTCATCCTCCTTCGCTGCCATCCCATCCCTTCTCATCCGTCTCCCACTTCGCCGCCCCCTCCTCATGTTCGCCCCTCCCCATACTTTCCCATGTTCTCTTCTCCCCCTACCCGCTGTCCTGCCCCTATCCCTACCCCTGCCCCTCTCCCTACCCCTCCTCACCGCCCGCCATCCCTCTCTCATTGCCCTCCTACCCTGGGCAGGGCCCCTCCCTCCTGGTAGGACGCGCCGCAGTCGCAGGTGGTCCGCGTGTTGCAC